TACTCACCACCAGGACACGTGTCTGCTTACCCAGTGTACTCACCACCAGGACACGTGTCTGCTTACCCAGTGTACTCACCACCAGGACACGTGTCTGCTTACCCAGTGTACTCACCACCAGGACACGTGTCTGCTTACCCAGTGTACTCACCACCAGGACACGTGTCTGCTTACCCAGTGTACTCACCACCAGGACACGTGTCTGCTTACCCAGTGTACTCACCACCAGGACACGTGTCTGCTTACCCAGTGTACTCACCACCAGGACACGTGTCTGCTTACCCAGTGTACTCACCACCAGGACACGTGTCTGCTTACCCAGTGTACTCACCACCAGGACACGTGTCTGCTTACCCAGTGTACTCACCACCAGGACACGTGTCTGCTTACCCAGTGTACTCACCACCAGGACACGTGTCTGCTTACCCAGTGTACTCACCACCAGGACACGTGTCTGCTTACCCAGTGTACTCACCACCAGGACACGTGTCTGCTTACCCAGTGTACTCACCACCAGGACACGTGTCTGCTTACCCAGTGTACTCACACACCACCAGGACACGTGTCTGCTTACCCAGTGTACTCACACACCACCGGGACACGTGTCCGCTCACCCAGTGTACTCACACACCACTGGGACACTTGTTCACTTACCCAGTGTACTCACACACCACTGGGACACTTGTTCACTTACCCAGTGTACCCACACACCACCAGGACACGTGTCCACTTACCCAGTGTACTCACCAGCAGGACACGTGTCCGCTTACCCAGTATACTCACACACCAGCAGGACACATGTCCGCTCACCCAGTGTACTCACACACCACCGGGACACATGTTCGCTTACCCCGTGTACTCACACACCACCGGGACACGTGTTCACTTACCCAGTGTACTCACGAGCCAGTCAGTAGCTCCGTGGATCTAGCTGTTGGGTCTCCCAGGTAGTGTGGTCCTGCAGCTGTTGAGAAGTAGGGACTGGTCCCTTGCTCGGTGAGCCTGTAGCCAGTGGGTCAGCAGGCTGGGATAGTAGAGAATGCCAAAAGCACTCTTCAGGATTTTATTATAGGAAGTTTGCGAAATTTCATAGAGCTTTAAGTTAACATTTTTTCCTGATGTCATTATATCTGGGAAAGGAAGCATGAATAGTGCCCGAAGCCTTTGAACAGACATGTCTTAACCTGACCATATTTGTTGCAAGTAATTGTTTTAAAAATTAATGCAGCTTGCCTGTGAGATAAATATAAGTATGTATGAATTTAAATGCAAAATTATGTGTTGAACATAAAAGGATAAATCTTGTTTTCTTTAGTGCAAATGTACTACTATGTAGAAACACTGACATGTCCCCAACTTTATATTTTAGTGGTTTTGTGTTAACATTTTATTTGCTTGATGGTCTGTTTAATACTATAGAATAAATTAATGTCTGTGTTTGAGGAAACAACAGAATTTTTTCCAGGCATTTAATGTTGTTGGTAATTTTGTACTAAGAAGAAAGCATAATTCTTATTTTTGTCATTAATTGTATCTCAGATATACCAGTTAAATATATATATATATGTGTGTGTGTGTATACATACATATATATATATATAATCAAGGCACTCACTTTTAAAACTGTAGACCTTGTCAACCTATCTCTAAAAAAAAAAAAATCAGTTGTTGGAACCAGCGGTTGGCATAATAGCTATGTCACTGGACTCCCATGTAGCTGACCACGGTTCCAGTCCTGGGCCCAGTGACTTAAACTCACTCAGGGCGCGTGTGCATGTGTGCCCAAGATCCTGAGAGGAGAATGGAGGAGAAGGAATTGTGGCATGGTCACCCCCTGGGGGTGATTTCTCACTCTCTGTCTCTCTGGTGAGCGCACACCACACGCCCTATAGCAAAAACCTCTCAAAAAAAAAAAAAAATCACTGTTGTCACTATAGAGTACAACAGCAAACCTGAGAATTAAGAAACAGTGTATTAACAAGGCTGATCTGATCAAGTGTTCTGCTTGTCAGTGTTACAGTGTTAGTAACTAGAGAAGAAGAGACATTGGCACTTTTGTTGGTGAGTTCACCTATTAATTTATTCACCAGACAAGATCCAAGCTACGTGTTGGAGAGCCATAGTTAACTATACAGATGGACATTTTTTGAATGGAGCTGGTGGTCTAATGGAAAAATTAAATAGCTAAAACATTAAAGCATGATAAATACAGCTGCAGGAGCGTTTACCGTTCAGCTCGTCATCTGGTGCGGTCACAGGAAACTTGACCGAGGAAGGTGGTGTCTGAGAGAGTGAAGGTGTACAGAGAGGATCAGGGCATTGTCAGCAGATCAGAACCTCTGATAATAAAAGCTATCTGCTGTGCAGAGTCACAGCGGCATGGTAGCTGAAGTCGGGAGGTGTAAGAGACTTAGGGGGAAAGGAGATGCGGGGTAGGAGATAAGGATCTCTGTGGGGACCAGCCCATTAGACTGTATGAGCATTTTTAATATCATGTGTACCATCGTGTTTTAAATGGAAAGAAAGGGTCAGACAAGCTTCAGAACACAAGCACACTGGGGTTCATAGTGAGGTGAGTCTCAGTGGATATTGAAATGTTGGGATCAGGAAAAGCCATCGAAAAGCCAGTGGGAATTAGGGTGGTTGGGACATAGAGGAGAAGGTGGGCTGGAGGACTGTGTAGGAGGTGGAACCGGTTGAGTTTGTCGAACGCCTGCATGTACGCTCAAGGACGGGACGTGGAAGGCTGCGGGCAGGCATTACTGTCAGAGCCAGACTGTCCGTCGGAAACATGAGCACAGGAGCAGGGGATGCCTAAACAGCAGCCCAGTTGCCGTGGAGGGGGGCTGCACTTCAGACACTGAGCAGGTACCAGTCCTCTGAGTGTTCTAGGTGAGAGGGTTCCCATGAGCCCGACTTAGGTTACGACCGCATGGGCTCTCGAGCAGCGGTGGTCTAGTAGAGGAGAGGCAGATGTGTTCACAGGAGCCACGTGACAGATGTTCCATGGAGTATGCTTGTATGTTTCCACATGTATATTTCATTTAATCTTTATTTAATTTTTATAAGAGGCAAGTGAGAGCTATTATTATTAAACATTTTTTTATGACACAGTATGTGCATATGAAGAGAGAGAAGCACCCTTAGCGGGGTCCCATCATGCCACGATCCCTTTTCCCCATCCCTCTAGCTTGTCAGGATCCCAGCCATGCACATACCTGGGAATCCGAAACTTAGGTCACGGTATGGCTTTCAGTCTCGCAGGGCACTCGCTTTATCCGCTCCACAGAGGCTGAGCTGATGACTATTTTTGAAATGAAAAATCCAAGTCTGAGAGACGACATAATGCTTCACATTCGCATAGCTGATGAAGTGACTTGAAACCAGATTTTCTGCTTTTTGGACCTCGATGTTCTTCTCACTAAGCCACACTGTCTCTGTAATGAAGGTCGGAATGAATCTGGGTTTGGAGTGTTTCGGTCTGTTGCCGGAGGGCAAAGAAGACAGTCCCTGGGCAGGTACCAGGCGGTGAGCCTGGAAGCGGCAGCGTGCAGAGGAGCGGGAGCAGTGAGGAGCAGGCGCAGGCGCGGTGGGCACTTGTGTATGGGTGGCAGAAGTGCACCTGGTCGAGCGTGCCATGTGAGAGCAGAGGGGAGGGATCTGAGCATGCCACATGAAGGCAGGAGGGAGGGTCTGCCATACCAGGCCGAGTTCTCAGGGCCTTATTTGGTAGACAGGCAAGTGGGGGGCCTTGAGAGTGTCAGGTCAGGGAAGTGGTCACAGAGTCCTGGAACAGACATTCCCTGTGCCATCGTAACCGCCGGGCACTGGGACTGTGGGTAATACAGTGTTAGACGTTGCAGTCCTTGCCCTCGGGAGGTTCTGTGGACGAGATACTGTGCAGTAGGTGCCCCGAGGGAGAAGAACGGGATGGGGAGAAACCTTGACAGCTGGGAGCATACCTGTGGCCTGAAGGAATCAGGATTGAAGAGCAGTCACACACACGGGGATGGGGTGGGGGTCTGCTTCTAGAGCACCCCCTGTAGAGACTGAGCCTGGCTCAGCTGCCCAAGTGAGGGGCAGAAATAGACTGGGTCCTTGAAGGCCAAGGTCAGAGGTCAGGTTTTATTTGGGTGGATCTTCTGAGAGTATGTGTGGGTTTTCTGTTTGAAACAGTCACTCTGGCTGCTGTGCAGCGAACAGTCTCCCCTCCTTGGGAGTCGGAGACTACATCAGAGCTCAGTAAAGACAGTGAGGACTGATGCGAGTGACACTGGGAGGCAAAGTAGCCACAACTGGTGAAGGGAAGCTGTGGCTTTCCCAGTGTGGGCGGGTCTTGGAATATGCTTGGTCGCGCTGATGTCGCCACAGCTGTGCCGGCCGTAGGAAAGCTGCAGTTCTACTTGTAACGGGGACACATCCTCTTGAGGGGCAGCTAATAGTGTGGACAAGCAACAGCAGGATTGCCAGGAGCGTCAATGACAGGTAATTGGACAGGCCAGGTGGGTCTCACGGAATTTTCTTTTCCTAGCAGTGTCTTTCAGTATGGCTCAAGAGAACAAATGGATGGAAGAATTGGTTGAACCCACTAGTTTTTATGCTTATATAAAAGGCTACCTGATTTTGAAATTTTTTTCTCAAATTTTAATAATTCTGTTTTTTTTTCAGTCTCTAGAGATAGTTGTAGATATTACTGAATATAAATTTAAAATAGTTTTCTCATTTTAAGTATGATGTAAAAATGTTAAAATGAACTTCTTTCTCTACTGCTTTGATAGAAGTATTACAGATTTGTTTTTAATTTCTATTATGTTTTAATAACAATCTTAGAACATTTGGAGTCTTTGTTGAAAATATTGAATTATTGGAGATTCTTTTCCTTACTGAGTTATAACTTTATAGATTTGCCGGCAAATTATAGGGAATAATAGTTTATAACTCTAACCAGAGGACATTGCCCTGTATGTTCTTTTAATCTTTGCTGTTGAATTTTGTTCTAGTTTTCTGAATTTCCAGATCCCATGTGGGGCTCAGACTACGTGCAGTTGTCTCGGACCCTGCCTTCCCGCGAGCAGAAGCGCAGCACCGTGTCGTGGGAGGAGCTGAAGGCCATGGACTTGCCCTCCTTCGAGCCAGCCTTCTTGGTCCTCTGTCGGGTTCTTCTGAACGTTATTCACGAGTGCCTGAAGTTAAGATTGGAACAGAGACCTGCCGGAGAACCATCTTTATTGAGTATTAAGCAGGTTTGTTCCAAAAACTTTTTCACACGTTTAGCAGTTATTTTACTCTATGGCTTGTGATTTTTATTTTGGAGATTTCTCCCAATTTTGCACAGTGAAAAATGAGTGTTAGTATTTTTTTTTTTTTTTTTTGCCATGGGGCACGTGTGCTTGCTGGAGCAAGACAAAGAAAGGGAAAGTGAGAAATCACCCCCCAGGAAGGATGGCTATGTCATAATCCCTTCTCTTCCATTCTTCTCTTGGGATTTTGGGCACACACACGTGTTTGGTGTGATTTTCAGGCTGCCAGTTCCAGGGCTCGAACCACAGTTTGCCATAGGGAGTCCCAATTCCTTCACCACCATGCCACCTGCTGGTCCCGAGTGTTAGTGTTTTTAAGCTGATCATTTTAGGGTGATTAAAAATATTCCTTACACGTAGTCTTCAAAGATGCAGTTGTGGTTCTGTCTTTCTGCCATCCACTTTCTTATTCTAAAAGGACATGAAAACATGGTGATGGCACTTGAGCCTCTGTACCCTTTCTATCCGTCTTTGAAGACTGGAAGCTTGACAGTCATTCATAAAAGATAGTGTTTAAGTTTCTTCTTTCTTTTCCTTTTTCTTTTTTTCTCTTTTCTTTTCTTCTTCCCTTCCCTTCCCTTCTCTTTTCTTTCTTTCTTTCTTTCTTTCTTTCTTTCTTTCTTTCTTTCTTTCTTTCTTTCTTTCTTTCTTTCTTTCTTTCTTTCTTTCTTTTTTTTTTTTTTTACCTTGCCAGAAGGCATGTGTGCTTGCCAAAGAGAGAGAGAGATGGGGGAGAGAGGAGGAAGCACCTACCCACAGTGGAGCATGGTCACACTGCAGTCATTCCCTTCCTGTTTCTCCATCCTGTCATGGTTTTAGGCATTCATATGTGCTTGCTCTGTTTTTTTTTTTTTTTTAATTTAATTATATATATTTTTCTTATTATTCATACATTCAATTGCTATACATCATTTAGATTGTAAAGAGACTTTACCCAGCATGATATACATCTTAGTCCAGCCCAGTTGAGACCACTATACACATCCTCGTCAACAGATAATAAACTTTATCTGTGTCCTACAAGTGTCTTATCTCTCCATTTCCCCCCCAAATTTCCTATACTGTTCCCTTGTCACACTCTCTTTCTACTTTGTCTCTAGCTTGCTCTGTTTTACAAACCACTGGGGCTCAGTTTTGAAATAGTCAGCTGGCCATGTGGATCCAGCTCTCTTAACCACTTGTACGTGAGGCCAAACCACATTTAAGTTTCTTAAATTTGTTTATTTTTGTTTATTTAAGGTACATGTAAATAGGTCAGTGTCTTTAGAGTATGCAGAGGGGAGGTGTTTGGACTTTTTGCTTACAGAAACCATTGTGTGGTATAAGCAGCAGTGACAGCTTTTGATTTCATAGCTGTGGTCAGTTTTGGATTAGATCTTGGGGGTGTTGACCTCAGGGGCAACAGAGGATGGGATGGAAGCAGTCGTATTGAGCAGAGCTAGAGCCAGTGAGTGTGTGGCTATGCTTTGTGATAGTAGCATGTTGGCATTCACTTTATAAAATAAAGGATTTCAGGTCTTGTCCCAGACAGAGTAAGATTGGTGTATTTTCTCTCGGTTGTGCATGTCATCCCCTAGGGATTGCTAGGAGCACAGGTGGGCAGAACTGGCTGTGGAAAGATGGGAAGTACAGGCTAGACAGTAGGCACAGGATAAAACGTGTGCGTGCGTTTGGTTAGGTATAGACCAGGGTTGTGGGGGCCGGCTGGAACTGGGCCCTGCATCTCAGTCTTCACTGAAGTTTGTGCCTGCACTGACTGCCACTCCACGCCCTCTCACCATGGGGTTGCTGCTTACAGTCTTGCTGCCCACCTTGGTCTTGCTTTGAACTTGCATTCTGCCTTGCAGTGGTTTTCTAGGACAGTACTTCCTAATGCCCTTCCTCACAAAACAGATGCTTTGCAAATAGAGCCCATTAACCAAGGTGGAATTTACGTTTTGTTAGGGTGCTATCGTGAGGATTAAGTAGTAAATGATGTTGAAATACTTTGAAAAATAAAAATAACATTTGGATGAATGTAGCATTTTAGAGTAAAAAGATAATAGAATTTTTGGCTGAAACACATTCAAAGATCACTTGTAAGCACTTAAGAGACATCACTAATACAGTTTATATCTGTATAATCTTAACAGAACACTTCTTAGTGGGTTTTGCTATAACCATAGCCCTCTTCTGCTGCATAATTTTTTTAAAAACACTGTTTTTAATTGACAGATAATTGTGCATATTATAGGGTACTGTGTCATTTTTCAGTACATGAATACAGTGTGTAATTATCAAGCAGGGTAATTACCATATCTGTTATCTCAAACATTTATCACAGTATCTGCCACTCAGAGACCATTGCTGTAACATTTTGGCATATTTCCATCCATTTGTTTTTCCTGCACATACATACCTCTTACACAGCATGTGTGTGTGTGTGTGTGTGTGTGTGTGTGTGTGTGTGTATGAGAGAGAGAACGAGAGAGAGAGAGCTTTCCCTTTTAAACACTATTTTTGAGAAGAATTTAAGTGGCTACAGTGGTGCTCTACTGTATGTATGGGTGCATCACTGTCTACTTAGTTCCCGTTGTTATAAGTAATATTGAGATAATTATGTTTCTAGATACATCTTAGTCTACATTTCTTGTTGTTTGCTGAGTATGAAACAATAGTGAGTTTAATGCTTTCAGATTCTAGGGAGTTTGTACCAGTTCTTTCCCATCGGCAGCACTGGAGTTGGAGTTCCTTTGGTGTCTTGGCTAATGTTCCTGAGAACATTGTGACTGGGAGCTTCTTCCTGTCTTGTTGATGAGAATTTGACAACACCATGCCCACAGTAGAAAGGGCTTCTCAAGTGGTCTCGCTTCGGCCTTCTGCTCCTCTGTGAGATGGCCTCCAAGACCAATGATTGCCTTTTTTACCTTTTCTCCTCTTGATTCCCATCTAATTTCATTAGTTTAATCTTAGGTTTCTTCGCTTTTTTTGTGATTATGTGTTTTTTGTGGTAGACAAGGTCACAAATCACCAGAGGTAAACTGCTGAATTATTACAAAGGTTGGCATGCTCTATGGTATGTAGTATATTTGAATTTTTTTTTTTTTTTTTGGTTAAAATTTATCAGTTTCATGAGAAGATTTTTCTCTCAGATCTCGTCTTACAACAAATTAGTGGAAAAATTGATCTTAGTCTGTGGAATTTATTTGCTATATAGATTTACTTGTAGAGGAATATGTTTTGACAAAGCAGTAGTTGTTGCTTATGTGGTATTTTCTCTGTGTGTCTATGCTGTAATATAAATTCTTTTTACTTTTTTGTCTTTACTTAAATGAGACTACCAAGATATTTATATAAAATAAACAGAGCAAGAATCTGGAAGTTATTCTAGGTTTTTCAAAGGCCAGAGCCACCCTTCCTGAGTCTGCTGAGAATTTAAGTGGTAGTATGTGAACACTGGCAAATTCTCTGGTTGGACACGAGGCCATTCGAGTTGTGTCTGCTCCTTTGTAGCTGGTGAGAGAGTGCAAGGAGGTCTTGAAAGGTGGCCTTCTGATGAAGCAGTACTACCAGTTCATGCTGCAGGAGGTCCTGGAAGACCTGGAGAAGACAGATTGCAACATCGATGCTTTTGAAGAGGATCTGCAGAAAATGTTGATGGTAAGAAAAGTGGGGGGAAATTTTGTCAATATGTGTGTGGGTGTGTGCGTGTGTGTGGTGATCTTTCATCCGAGTGTCTTTCCATCTAGTGTTTGATTAAATTTGTTTCTCCTGAAGCCACTTGTTTTTAATCCTCAATGGTTCTTTTGTTTGTTTGTTTGTTTTGAGAGAGAGATTTTTGCTATAGGTTGTGTGTACTCGCTGGAGAGACAGAAAGCAAGCCCCCCCCCCCCCCCCCAAGGATGGCCGTGCCACAATCCCATCTCCTCCATTCTCCTCTCGGGATCTTGGGCATATATGCACGCACACCTGGCATGGGTTTTAAGCCAACAGGTACAGGATTTGAACCACGGTTGACTGTGTGGGAGTCAGCAATGTAACCGCTATGCCATCTACTGGTCCCAATTTTCAGTGTTATTTTTTTGTTTGTTTGTTTGTTTGTTTTTTTAAGAGGTTTTGCTATAGGGCGCGTGTGCTCGCCAGACAGACAGAGAAAGACAGAGAGACAGAAAGTGAGAAATCACCTCCTGGGGGATTGGCCGCGCCGCAATCCCTTCTCCTCCATTCTCCTCTCAGGATCTTGGGCACGCACGCACACGCGCCCAGCGTGAGTTTTAAGCCACCAGGTCCGGGACGGGAACTGCGGTCGACTATATGGGAGTCCAGCGACATAGCCATTACGTTAACTGCTGGTCCCCCAATCTTCAGTGGTTTTTAAGCTAGAATTTTTCACAGATCTGAACCTGTTTCATTGTTTAATAATGGGGTAGTGATGGCAGAACGGCTAAGAAGTAGAATCAGAATCTGATCCTGTTTCATTGAATCATCTTTTGTCAGTCATTTTTATAATACTTAGGATGCCAGAGACCTTGCGTGGCTCTGGGAATACTGAAGAACAACAAGAAGCTCATCATTTGATGGGGACTGGGCTAGGTGCATGCCTCACCTTGATGCCAGGTGCTAGAGTAGAAGTATGTGGAGTTAGGACCCTTGAATGAAGCATTGGTGTCCAGGCCAGGAGGTGCTTCTTATAAGGAGCTGAGTCTTTTTTTTTTTTTTTTAATTTTCTGTAATTTTTAAAAATAATAATTATTATTTTTTTATTTATTCATTCATTTATTTATTTTTTTTAGCTTGACCAGAGAGAGACAGAGGTTGAGAGTGAGAGAGAGAGGAAGTGAGAAAGCAAGCCACCAGATTCAGGACGTGAACCCTGGTCGGCCATGTGGGAGTGTCCAGCGCCTTAGTCACCATGCCACCTGCTGGTCCCAGGAGCTGAGTCTTAAAAGTGAGCCAGCATTCAGCAAGGGACCTGGCACGCTCAAGGACTTGTAATGGTTTGATTTGGCAGGAGCTGACCTGCTTTTAAGTGTTGTTCCCTAAAGAGACTCCCAGTCTTCTACTTGCCCTGTGCTGTATAGACCTCGCACTGTTGTTTACATATCATTTCCTGCTAGACATGGTCTGCCATCCTCCCTATCTGCCCGTTTAAGATTTACTTTCCGGTTTTATTTTTCTCCAGAAAGCCAAATTAATCTGCCAGTTTTAACCTTTAGCCCACATTTATGTACAGTTTCTTTGAACTCGCTCAGCAGTTAAAAGTAGAACTGTTCTGTTTAACCTCGAGCCAGAGGCTCTGTTCTCAGATTTCCCTAGCTTGCCTGAAGGAGAGCTTGGCGAGGCCAGGCGGCAGGGTGCTGGTGCAGGGTGAGCGCATGGTGAGTGCATGAGGCTCTGCATGGCAGGTGGTGAGGTGATAGACGACTTCAGCACTGTCGGTACATTGTTCTTGCCATCTCACTGCACCCTGCCTGGCGATGACTGCTGCACCTCCCGGTCCTGCCCCCACTTCTAGGCTGGGAGCAAAGAGGAAAATGTCCTTGCCAGCTGAGTCCAGACCTTTTCCTCAGCACAGCAGGAGCTCCCAGGGAACCCCACCCAGCGGCCTTCCCTGCCTGTTCCGGACCAGACCTGCTAGTGTCTGTGATACTGTGCTGGAGGCGTGGACTTAGACACCTCAGCCTCTGGGGTAGAAGGAGTGTAGGGAGAGTGGCTGGAATGGGACTTGGGCCACATCTGACATGCTATAAGCAAGACATGATTTGGGGACCGACAGGTGGCATAGAGGTAAAGGGGTTGGACTCCTACGTGACTGACTGAGGTTTGAGTCCTGGAACCAGTGATTTGCCTTCACTTTCCCTCCCTCCCTCTCTCTAGTCAAATGAAAAATAACAATAATAACAATAATAATAATAATTAATCAATGAATACTTATTTTAAAAAGGATGACTCTGATGGTTTGAAATTATTTTCTAAATGTTTCAAGAGAATCCATAAAGAACCGGAGCATATAAAGTGGCAGCATTTTGAAATACTTTTATTTTGTGTATCATTAAAGTTTCTTTTATTGGAAAAGCCTGGTGATTTCTTTTTTTTTTTTTTCTGAGAACTTTTTGCTATAGGGTACATGTATTTGCCAGAAAGACAGAGACAGACAGAGAGACAGAAAGCGAGAAATCACCCCCCAGGGGGGATGGCCATGCCGCAGTCCCTTCTCCTCCATTCTCTTCTTGGGATCTTGAGCACACACGCGTACGTTCCTGGCATGAGTTTAAGCCACTGGGTCCGGGACTTGAACCATGATTGACTATATGGGAGTCCAGCGATGTAGCCATTACGCCAGCTTCTAGTCCGAAGTTTTTGGAAGTTTTTATTTTTTATTATTTTTATTTTGAAAAGCATGGTAAAAAAGAGCGAGCAAATAATTTTTCTTTTTTTATGGATGATTGAACCAGAAGTGTAAAAAGACAGAATGCGCGTTGCCTCCCAGACCATGTTTGATGGCATGCAAGGGTCAGCCAGTGCCCTGCACTGTGACCTCATGCAGGAGCAGCAATCGGGAGTATTAGGCGGCGCCTGCGCCTCCCTGGGAGCAGGCACTCTGAGTGCCCCTGTGCCTGTCAGTGAGTTACCTACAACCATAGCCAGGTAGGCTTAGTCTGTGCTCAGTCTGATTTTGGCTTTGCTCTCAATAAAATGATCTACATGAGGTATAATATCTAGTCATGGGGATGAAGAAGCTAGAAATTGCCTCTGGTTTTAAAATGAAGTACTAGAAGGGTCAGGCCATGGCATGTTTTGAGTGCCGGGGGGGACCCTGTTCTGTGTTGCTATTAGGAAGGAGAGAGAGAATGGCTGCTGGAAAAGCAATCTTACTGGGTTAACCAGACACTTTTCTCTTGAAACCCACCTAAAACAGCAAAGGAAAATAATTCCATGTTCAGAAAGGGAGGAAATTGACCACAACCACCTCTGCAACCTTCCTAAAATAAAAAGACCATAACTGTTTACCTTGAAATGTAGATTAAGCAGAGGTAGACATAAGCCCTCCATACTTCCCACCTTAGGCCTGGAGAGGCCCCCTTGTGACTAGTTAGTTCTGGGATATCTTGGGATAGGAGCAGTTGGGTGAGAAGAAGTCTATCTCTGCAGAAGCCCTGCTATGGTAAGGGTCTGCATTGTGGAAAGGGAAAAGGAAAGACATTCACTGTCTCAGCTCCCCTGCTGGGCAAGGTCAGCTGCTGAGCCAGCACCCTGAAAGAGAGGGAAGCCATGCCGAGCAAGTTATGGTTTGGGAAACCTTGACTCGAGGCGCTTCACTTGCTTACAGCATCCACTGCACTGGGAACTCTGAGGTGCTTAGGCAGATAGTCAGAGGAAATAACTTGGTTAATGTTTGAGGCATCAAGCCTCAGTCGAAGCTGTCGTCTATCTTAGTGCATTTTCACGGACCCCGGTCTTAGAAATAACCAAATTAATAAGCATAAGATATGATGATGTAGGAACTTGTACTTGACTTAAGGAAACTATATCAAAAGAATTTAAAAGGATGAAACTGTGGGAATGGTGAATGAGACGTGGTAGTTGTGGAAGACACATGGGAGAGAGCTAACGTGCACAGTTGGTATTTCTACAGAAAAGTAAAGAACAGAGGAACAGGAGGGATTCTATTCTTCATTCTGTGGATGAGTTGTTGGACACTTACTGTATGCCAGGAGGCATCGCACAGGTGCTGGGGACCAGTGGTGAGCGTAAAGTCCCTCATGGAGATTGAGGATGATGGGGACATAAAATAGCAATGTCGGAAAATGCCACAGAGGAGAGGCGTGGGCCAGGGTAGTTGAAATAGTGATTTGAGACTTGGAGCATTCTGGGAATGACAAGATCCAGTATAGAACCCTGTCAGAAGTGGGTCTTGGAGACGAGGCAGTCAGGAAACTGAACTGGGATGGTGTTGTTGGGCCATCCAACCACAGGGTATTGGGTCACAGAATATGACGTTGAGCACCTTAGAGAGAGGGAAGACTGGAGGTCAGAAGGCAGAGCCTGACAAAGGAGACTAAAGTGTGATGGTCATTGAAAGTCAGAGGATGACAAAGTGGTGTATTTGCATGTGGGAGTGTTGGTGTGAGGTGGGGGGTGATGTGTGGCTGATGTAAATCTCAAAGGGGCAGGGTCTTGGTTTTGCTTTCTAGATAAGAATGTGAAGGGTAGTGGTTTGAAAGTAGCAGTAGAAAGCAAGAGACTGCAGCACTCGAACAGATGGTAAGACCAACAGTTGGTTCTTCAGAGGCCTGTGAGGGAGAAGTGCTGTCCTCAGGAGAGGTCCAGCCTGCAAAAAGGCCAAGAAGCAGGGAGGGCACTCGGAAGAGTGAAAGGAGGGTTGCAGGCCTGGTACTTCAGAGACTTGTTTCAGATCAGACAGTCGAGGCTCTACTGTAGTCTGAACCCTGCACTGCAGAGTCACCCTCACAGTCTGGAGGGTTCAAAGACGTATAGCAGAAGAAAGTGTTCCTGAAATGATAGACTTGAAATTGCCTACTGAGAGTTATAACTGATCTCGGAAAGAAGGTCCAGACAATGAATTCTGAGATGTACTTGGTGAAGAGCAGACCCAAGGATAGAAAAAAAGTCCTGTGAACATTTATACATAGAAACCAGGCCCCCTTTAGGAAGTGGTGCAGTTGGGGATCAGGTTGGCATCTGATTTTTTCCTGTCAGCCTCACCCTCAGGGTAGAAAGGCAGTGGGGTCATGTCTTAGCAGCTCTGAGGATCAGGACTTGTGACTCACATGTGGGTTACTCAGCCAAGCTTTCCTGTGAGTAGAAGAGGCCACAGGCAGTGCTGTCTGTAATATAGCTATCGTGAACCTGTCTCAAGAAAAAGTACTCGTTAGTAAAACCCTGCTAACCAGTGGATAAATCAGGATAAGAATTTAGGAATGTGAAGCTGCTGCAATAGGACATGTGGAAGATTTAAACTCACTTTGGAACAACTTAACATCTTTATAATTGATGTCTCCTAAACCTTGAAAAAATTGTACCACAAAAAGCTGGATGTTAGGAAGGGGTAGTGAGAAGTATACTCATTTATTTTTCTCAGCACATAAAGTAAAAACACCTGGGCCAAGCAGGTGGCATGGTGATTAAAGCAGTTGGATCCCACATGGCTGTACCATTTCAATCCTAGACCCGGCAGCTTGAAAAACACGCTGGGTATGTGTGTACGCATACCTAAAATCTTGAAAGGAGAATGGAAGAGAAGGGATTGTGGTGTGGCCATCCCCCCAAGGGGTGCTTTCTCACTTTCCCTCTCTCTCTGGCTCTGCCTGGCCAGTGTATATGCCCTATCACAAACTTTAAAGAAAAAGAAAGAGGCTCAAGCTAAACCATGTAATTAAACAAAGATCCTAACTTCTTAGAGCAATAATGTTTGTAGAATATTCATCAAGAAAATTTCTAGGTGCTATTGTTTTAATTTTTTAACTTTATTTTATTTTCCTATACTCTATATATTTCAGTTATTTTCTTGGGAATTTGAAGGAGCACATTGTAAGTAATGTGTTAAATTGCTAGGAGCTGTGCTGTTTAACAAAATCCTTGTTTAGACATCATCCAGCAATGGTGAAGAATCTTCTGTCCGTGTTGCATGCTTTTAACAGTCCTTTCTACCTTGCTCTTCTGCTGTGTAGCTTTCATGCTGACAGAGGTGGAAATCATGAGTTGCTGAATTTTACTTTTATAATCTTCCCTTTAAATTTTTATATTTTAAGGTATATTTTGATTACATGAGAAGCTGGATCCAAATGCTACAGCAATTACCTCAGGCATCTCACAGTTTAAAAAATCTGTTAGAAGAAGAATGGAATTTCACCAAAGAAATAACTCATTACATACGGGGAGGAGAAGCACAGGCTGGAAAACTTTTCTGGTAGGACTCCTTTTGCTCTGAATGTGGCTCCTTACTTTCTCACTCACTCCCAGTTTACTTGTTGATTGCTACACATTTGAATGTTTAATTACATGAATATTGTAATTACTCATATCTGTTATGTGCCCTTTTTTAAGTTCTTAAGTGGGGTGATTTTGCCCCTTGGAGACATTTGGCAAAGTCTAGAGATGTTTTTGATTGTCACGAGAGGGAGGATGCTGAGGGCATCTAGTGGGGAGAGGCCAGGGCATCCTTCAGTCCCCCAGTGCAGCAAATTATCCACTGGCACATCAAGTTTTGAACTTGAGAAATCCTATTGTTCCTTTCTCTTTCCTTCCTTCCTTGCTTGCTTTCTTCTCTTCCTTCCTCCTGTCCTCCTCCTCCTTTTTTTTTTTAATCAAAGAGAGAAAAATCTAAATCTTTTAAGAGTAGAATAGACCTGTGCATATCGGTCTTAGTAGGGACATTCAGAATTTAAGAGGTTTATTTGTTTGTTTTTGGAGAGGTTTTTGCTATAGGTTGTGTGTGCTCACCAGCAAGACACAGCAGAACAGAGAGAAAGAAATCACCCCACAGGGGGGATGGCCACAATCCCTTCTCCTCCATTCTCCTCTTGGGATCTTGGGCACGTATGCACACATGCCTGGCGTGAGTTTAAGCCACTGGGTCTGGGACTTGAACCACGGTCATCTACACGTGAGTCCAGTGACATAGCCATTACGCCAACTGCTGGTCCCAAGAGGTTTGCATTTTTACTGGTACTGCTTTGGAAATGTAATGCTCCTCTCAGAATCTCTTAATAAATTGTGGTTTTATATGTTGGAAAAATAGAAATGGAAATAAAGGAAAATCACGAGGAGGAGAGTGGAGTCACTCATCTGTTTGCTGTAGGAAATGAGTGTGTTTCATTAAGTGTAGACCATGATGTTGAACACAGTTTGTGTCGGTGGTCTTTGCTAGTTGTCCCTCTGCTTCTGACTTGGTTTAACTCAGGGTAAAGATGAGTGTTAACATGTGCTCTAGGTTCTGCATCTGTGTATGGGTACTACCTTCTCCCACTTGTTTCTTCTTCTTTTTTTTTGTTTTTGTCTCTATTTATCAGGACTTTTATACCCAGCTCTGATAGTCTCTCTTTCTATACATTCTATAGGATTTTAGTTTTTACATGGAGAACTTTTTCTTCTAACTTAAAGCAACTCATTGTTCTTTATTCCACCTCTCTTCTGGACCATACTCAGTATCTCAAAATCTTGTACCTGTTTTTCTGCCCTAATCACCAGTTCTTTTTATACCCTCTATTTTTATTTTGAGTAAGCAGTGAACTTGCTCTTGTCTTAATGACTCAGGCCGTGATCCCAAGATTGATGTTCTTTGCTTTCTAGTCAGCTGGATTCCCATAATCAACTTCTTAAAAAATGCAGTCCTTACTATTTTCTACAATCTCTCCCCTCTTTAATAATTTTGCCTTGTCTATAATTCTTCTGTTTGCATTTTCTGTTTCTAGCCTGTCAAATGTGTTGAAGTAATTTTTTAAAAGTTACTATTTGGTTTCACTGCAGATTCACATTATGTGATTAACTTGTATCTTCACTTCCTCCTCTCAGTCTTTGTGTTTTGTCTTTTGCTTTGTCCTTTAAATTCCCTGGGGTGTAGTGTCTGGTCTTTGTCTTTATGCTTCTTATCCTCCAGAGCTTTTTTACTGCCCTTCTTCTGGGAATGCAGACTTCAGCTGTTCTAGTTCTATTATATTTCATCTACTATATTTGAATAGCAATTGCTGCTTCACACCCAGTTTTTCCCAAGTTCAGTCAGCATTGGAATCAACCCTGACTTCCTTCTTTCTAGCACTTGGCCTCTAATTCTTTGGCTCTCCCTTCAGATGCATCATAATCTGATTCCTGCTCACCACCCCTCTTCTTTTGTTTTTGTTGCCATGGGTATCATTGTAGTAACCCGCTTTTACCCACAGTCTCTTGTAATTGATTCTTAACATTTATCCAGAGTGATCTTGTTAAAATGTATGTCAGACCATTTTCTCCTCTAAATACTCCATGGCTCCCACTCTTACTCAGTAAGAATGAGGGTGTCTAAATAGTGACCTGAAGGTTGATTCACTCTGACTTCTTGTCAAATCTTTGTCCTCATATCCTGGAGATGCTGCTGTCTTACTTTACATCCACAGTGGCTTCCTTATATTCCCACAGGCTGGGTATGTTCTAGTAAGCCGCCTCGCACTTGCTGGTCCCCATGGATCCCTGTTCCCCAGTTATTTTTAATGACTCATTTTAACAGTTCCTTAGGGTCTTTGACTAAATGCTCCCTCTTTGATGTATTTCAAATTGAAATCCCTGCCCTCAAGTATGCCTTAGCTTTTCCCTGTTTCTTTTCCTCTGTAGCACTCACTGATCTCAGAAATACTAAACGTTTTCTTTTTTTCATTGTTTTTCTCCATCCATTGGAGGGCTTTCCTCTCTCGATCACTGCTGCTTAGTACATAGTAGCACTCAATATTTTTTGAATAAATCCATTCTAAATATTTTTAGTATTTTCCTTATAATGCTTTTCTTTTCTTCTTCTTTTTTTTTGGAGAGGTTTTTGCTATAGGGCACGTGCACTTGCCAGAAAGACAGAGAAGAGACAGAGAGACAGAAAGCAAGAAATTACCCCCCAGGGGAGATGGCCAAGCCACAATCCCTTCTCCTCCATTATCCTCTCAGGATCTTGGGCACACATGCACACACATGTGCCCAGCTTGAGTTTAAGCCACCAGGTCTGGGACTTGAACCATGGTCAACTACATGGGAGTCCAGCGACATAGCCATTATGCTAACTCCTGGTCCCTTTATAATGCTTTTCTTGAACCTTTGTTTCAAATCAGGTCACCTTTCCACTTATGTAATTTAAAACCCATCCTCTTTGTCTGCCAGAGATCAAATTAATTGGTATAACAGTTAAGGCCCTATACACCTTGGCTTCAGTTTACTTTTCTGCTCCTAGTTCACCACCCCCTCCCCCTGCCCCCTCTGTAGCATGAATATCCTCTACTCTTTTCAGATGGGATGATTTCTTTTTACTCATACATGCCTCTTGCTTAACACATCATTCCTTTTGATTACATTTATTATTGTTCCTAGATTTTCATTCCCCCTCTTCCATTTTCTTCCTCACAGATTTTTTTCCTCTCACTATTGTTCTACCAGTTAAAATTCTGCATTTACCTCCCAGGCTCATTGCAGGGCTTTGTGGCTAGGAAACTGTGCCTTCAGCTGGGTATGAAACCAGACCTGCAGCTGAGTGTCCTTTCTCCTTGGACAGGAGCATTAGTGCTCTCCCTTCTGCCACATCTGATATTGGTTACACATTTACCCACCCTTGACCATTGTAGAGTGAACAAACTTGCTGAATTTTTAGTGCACTCATTTAGATTTATTTTATACACTTGAGTGTACATTTAAACACTAGTATTTAAGTTGTGTGGTTAGCGAGAAGGATCAACTATGTCATGTTTATTGACTATAAAAAATATGGGGGAGAATTTTGAAAACAACTGCATTTGAGAATTTACCTTGTTTTTCTATCCTAGCATTTAACTTATTTGGGTCATTTTATACCATTTAGACTATTTGTCTAGGAAGAAATAAGTTTGTATAATAATCCTGAAGCTATTCTGAATATAATGCAAGATTTTAAAGTTTATACTGAAATACGGTGGTAATAGAACAATGGTAAATACATGGCATAATCCAGATTTCTACTTTTGCATGTTAATCATGATTTGCTATTAAAAGAGAAAAATTCTTCTTGTCGTTGATTTTTAAACTATTGAAGCAGTAGCTAGCCTTTCAACTTTTCATTCAAAATTTAGGATATGAGGGAGGACAGTTTTCCTTCTCTGTTTTATTTCTGTTATTTTTATTCCCTTAGCAACATTGCAGGAAGGCTG